AAAAACCCTTTCTCAAGCCTATAGATGGTCTGTATCTTTCTCAAAGTTAGGTCATCTATCCAGAGGCCGGGAAGTTTGAAACTGCTTTCTCTCTCTGCTGTCTGTTACTTCCTTGCCATCATCTCCCATTGGCAGACCGACTGTTTCCTTGACTTTTTTTTTTATGTGTTGAAAGTAACTTTTTATTATTATTATCTTTGACCTGGGTTGCAAGTCTTTGTTCATTTTGAGAACTTTGCTTTCCTGGCTTCATCTTTGCAGATTCGGGCTATCTGCTGATACTCTGCCTTAGTTACGTGTCCCTCTTTCCAACTTTTGTATTTATTCCTTTTGGTCTTTCAGTTTATCAGAGAGATCTTTGTGCAACCATGTTGGTTTTGTTCTTGAATTTCTTGTTTTTCTTTTTTAGTGGTATTGTGTTGGACTGGGCTTTTATGATCATGTTTTTTAGAGTTTCCCAAGCTACTTGGCTTGTTTTCCCCTTTAGGATTTTCATCCATGGAATCCTTCCCAAGCTCTCTATCTAAAATTGTTAAAATCAGCCCTTTTAAAGTCTAAGGCAGTGGTTCTTAACCTTTTTGAACGAATTGCCCCCTTGAGCCAATGAGGAAGTTGTCATCGCCCCCCTCCCCCAACATAACCTCTCAATCATAGGAAATAATTCTTCAATTTATGCAAACACTTTTTTTGTTTTCTTTAAAATTGTCATCAGGATATATCGATGCAAATCATTTATTTCCAGTCTTTTTCCCATATCTCCCATATTCTGGCCAATGGCGTGCCACTGTATGGGTAGAGGCTGCTGCGCAACACACATGAAGATAAGCAATGCGTCTTCACATATGTACGGCGTTCTGTACTGAAGCTAGCTGGAGGAACATTTGAAAACACAATTCAATCCACTAATAGCGAGCGATCTGATGTTTTTGTACGACAGATATACAGCGGTTCACTGTACGAAAAAGTCTCAAAAGTGTCCCCAAACTTCTCGCTCCATCGCCCCCTTTTCGCCCCCTTTTCGTTCCATTGCCCCCCTGAAAAATGAAATCGCCCCCTGGGGGGCAATATCGCCCAGGTTAAGAACCACTGATCTAAGGCACTGATTTAATTATGTAGTATTACTTGTGTCTGCGCTATATTGAATTCCAATATTTCTGTTCTATTCTGTTCTGTTGTTTCTTATTCTGTTCTGTTATATTCTATTCGTTCTACTCTATTCTGTATTCTGTTCTCTATTCTAATCTATCATCTATCTATCTATGTCCCTCTCTCAGAGACAGACTGACTGTCTCTGTCTGTCTCTCTCTGTGTGTGTGTCTCTCTCATCTATATCTATCTATCTATCTATCTTTCTATCTATCTATCTATCTATCTATCTATCTATCTATCTATCTTCTATTTATAAATAACATTTTATATCTGTATGTATCCCTTCCTAGGGACTCCATCCTACCATATCTGAAAGAAATGTAACCAGTGGACCCATTCTGCAAAGTCATCTGGAATCTAAATACAAGTAGCCCTCGGATTAGGATGACTCATTTAGTGACCATTCGTAGTTGCCATGGACACGTCCCCCGAAAAAGTACTTACAACTCAGTTCCAAAGTTTCTTTAAAGTGCCCCAAATAAAGTCCCGCAACCAGCCCTCCTTTACCACCGTTTGCAGAATCTCTCGCTCCCCTGACCCCTAATTTACGATGTTTTTACCCAAAACCAGGGTTCGCTTCTGGGTTTCGGCACACATGCCCTTTCAACGAAGAACCGGTTCATTCAACAACCCCTGCAGAAAAGGATCATAAAATCGGGCCCAGTCCCATGACGTTCTGCTTTACAGCCATCCCTTTACGGCCGTTAAGTCGAGGACCATCTGTACTTTCCATCCTTTATCCCGCTCTTTCTCAAGCTTTTAATGGCTAGCTGGGGGAATTCTGGGAGTTGAAGTTCAACCGTTTTTGAGAAACACAGTTGGAGCTGATCAGGAATGCAAATCCTTGAGGGACCAGCAGAGGGCAGCAAACGCTGCTGCAAAGCTCCCCTGTGCTGCCTCCTAGAGGAATTTGGAGTTTTGCAACTCAAGATTTTTTTTGGGGGGGGGGGGAAACAACCTCACACACCCCCAGCCTTGAACCAGGGGAGAAAAGGCACCCCTATTTTTTTTTCCGAAAACAGGTTTGCGAATTTTGCAGATCCAAGGATGCTCTTTTTTCTTAGCAAAGAACAGATCACCTTTCTCCCTGCACAAATTCCTAAGGGATTATGTCTTTTCGGTGGCTGTTTTATTTAAAGATTTCGGCTAGCTCCCAGCAGATTAAAAAAAAACAAAAGGAAGAAGAAAGAAGAACATTTGCTAATCCAGGTCAGACTAGCTGGGGGGGGGGGGAAGGAGGAACAATCTCTGGATAAAAGGGCTTAGCAAAAACAAAGGGGGGGGGGTGTCCCTGGAGAAATACCCCACCCCAGAAACCCCAAGACGTGCTGGACTTCAACTCCCAGAATTCCTCTAGGGCAGTGGTTCTCAACCTGTGGGTCGGGACCCCATTTGGGGTCAAAGGACCATTTCACGGGGGTCGCCAAACAACGCAGTCCGCCATTTTTTCCCCCCTTTTCCTTAGCTGTGCTATTCCCTTTTATTCGATTGGCTTTTGAAAGCCAGTAGAATAGACTCTCTTGAATAGAGTCTAATTCTATTGGCTTTCCAAAGCCAATAGGAATGGTCCAGGCTGTCTCTGCCCTGCTCAGCCCGCCAAAAGTCACATTCTGCAAAAGATGCTGCACCAGTTGAGTAGTCCTCGACTTACGACCGGTTGAGTAGTCCTCGACTTACAACCGGTTGGGGGTCACGGCATTAAAAAGGTTGAGAACCACTGATCTAGGGCTTGGAGTCCTGCACTTCTCAGGGCTGTGGATTCGGAAAGTGGGGAATCCAACAGTTCAAAAGCAGTTTTCCTACCCAGATGGGGTCAAAAAAGTCAAGATGGCAGCCAGACAATTGAAAAGCAGGTGGGGATCTGACCGCAAGATGCCGTGGGGACTTTATCTTGACTTTTCTGACTCCTCCAGCAGCCAAAGGACTTTTGGGAACCCCAAACCAGCAGCAGCGTATCCAAAAGCTGACGTTCAGAGGTAGACTGTTACTAAATATGGAGGCTCCGTTCAGCGTCCTCCTCCCATATGTGCGTAAAAGCTGGATTGGAATTACTCCAGTATCCCCTTGCTTGCAAAATTAACCGGGGCTGCTGTTTCTCAGCCTTGCCAACTTGAAGATGCGTGGACTTCAACTCCCAGAATTCCCCAGCCAGCCATGGGGAATTCTGGGAGTTGAAGTCCAGGCATCCATGGGGACTGGGGAATTCTGGGAGTTGAAGTCCAGGCATCCTCAGGCCGCCAAGCTTGAGAAAAGTTGAGCCTATAAGTTCAAAGCTAGGAACTTTATCCCAAATCAGAATAATGCTGATCCTCAAGAAAGAAATAAAAGCAGAAAAAAAGATAACAAGCCCCCAGGTCAACAAGCTGTGGCTAAATGTCGCAGCAGTATGTGTAAACCCACATTCCATACGAGTCTCTTCTAATATTCCAGCCAAATGTCCGTTTCTTCGCACCCTTTATTTGTCCTCCTTTTGTTAACGCTCAGAAAAGCACAAATTCCCCAAGGATTGTTTTTCATGACCAAAAAAAATAAAATAAAATAAAATCAGAAATATGAATAATAACAGAACTGGAAGGGACCTTGGAGGTCGTCTAGTCCAGCCCCTGCTCAGGCAGGAGACCCTACGCCATTTCAGACAGCTGACTGTCCAGTCCCTTCTTAAAAGCCTCCAGTGACAGAGCGCCCACAACTTCATGTCATTCCTCTGATTAATTACCAGAATGACAGAGATGGAAGGACCTTGGAGGTCATCTAGTCTGACCCCCTGCTCAAGCAGGAGACCCTCTACCATTTCAGACAGTCTCTTCTGGAAAACCTCCAGTGATGGGGCACCTACAACTTCTGGCGGCAAGCTGTTCCACTGGTTAATAGTCCTCACTGTCGGGAAATTTCTCCTTAGTTCCAGGTTGCTTCTCTCCTTGATCCGTTTCCATCCGTTCTTTCTTCTCCTGCCTTCTGGTGCTTTGGAGAATAAGTTGGCCCCCTCCTTTTTGTGGCAGCCCCCTAATAGTACCGTAATAAGGTGACTCTGGGCAATGGTCATGTAGCCAAATTCAATTAACAGAACAGAACAGAACAGAATAGAGGTGGAAGGGACCTTGGAGGTCATCTAGTCCAGGGCTTTTCAACCAGTGGTACGGCTACCACCTGTGGTCCATTGGCCCCTGGCAGGTGGTATGCGAGCATCCTAGAAAAGTGGTAGCAGGGGAGGGGAACGAGCTGAACCGGTGGCAGCACCGCACAAGCCTGAGCGAGAGACGGCTGGAGCTGCAGGGCTGTCAGGGCTCAGCGGAAGCGCAGGATCAGCGCTTCTTCAGGGCTGTCAGGGCTCAGCGGAAGCGCCAGGATCAGCGCCAGGCTTCAGCTGGAGCTCAGAAGAAGCGCCGATCAGCTGGAATGTTGCAGCCTCTCCAGGGTCTTGTGATTTACATTCAGAGGCTTGGCAACCGATTCATATTTAGGACGGTCACAGTGTCCCAGGGTCATGTGGAGTGACCAAAACCTGCTGCAACCACCCAGCAGACGGGGGGAATAAAAAACAAACACCCACCACCCCCACTGTCAATCCTCAACAGAAACGCTCACAACAATGACAACCTCGGACAGGAGGAAGTGCACCACCAGGCGGGCAGGCAGGTGTCTTGCTCAGCTGTGGCTTGGGGGACACTTTTTTCAGTGCCATTGTAACTTCGAACAGTCACTAAGCGAACTGTTGTAAGTCGAGGACTACCTGTACTTTATCACTTTTTTGGGGGGGGGTCATCACGTTTTTGACCCCTTGCTAGGCGACGGGTGGTCCTCGGATGTTGCCATATCCTAAAAGTGGTACAGTGGGTGAAAAGGTTGAAAAGCCCCGATCTAGTCCAGCCCCGTGCTCAAGCAGGAGAACCTACGCCATCTCAGACAGGTCTCTTCTTAAAAACCTCCAGGGATGGAGTGCCCACAATTTAAGGACCGGAGGCTGAAGGAGCTCTGAGTAGGACAGCAGGAATCCAGCCCATCCCGCAGCCTCCAATGGTGTCGGCCTCTCCCACGGCAGCGTCACACCAGGCCGGCTGGCCGGCTTACCGATCCCACTTCCTTCTCTCTGAGCACTGACTGCCCCGCTCTCCCTCTCTCTCTCTCTCCTTTCCAAGCTCCAGCATGTTCCTCAGCAAGCCGGAGGGGGAGCCGAGCGAGCTGCGGAGGAGCGTGGAGGAGGCCAGCGGCACGCCGGAACCGCTGGACGAGGAGCTGTCCAAGAAGAAGCACCGGCGCAACCGGACCACCTTCACCACCTACCAGCTCCACGAGTTGGAGAGGGCCTTTGAGAAGTCCCACTACCCCGACGTCTACAGCCGGGAGGAGCTGGCCATGAAGGTCAACCTGCCGGAGGTTCGGGTTCAGGTAAGCAGGGCGACGAAACAAGCCAAGATTAGACCCATTATTTCAGGCGCACCAGGCTGAGACGATGCCACCGGTCGTCCTCGGCGTACGGCCGTTTCTTTAACGACCGCTCCGAGCTGCAATGGCTCTGGGGAATAAAAAAGGTGACTTATGACCGTCGCAGCACCCTCGCGACGGCAGGATCCGAATTCGCTCCCTTGGCCACCGCCATGCGCTTCTGACGGTTGCCCAGCCTCCCAGGGATCCCGCAATCGACCAGCGAAGTAAAATGAGGGGAAGGGGGACTCGTTTAACGACCGTGTGATTCACTGAACAACTGCAGTGAGGTTCGCTTAGCAAAAAAAAAAAATGTTGTAAATAGGACATTTCACGATCGCTTTGCTTAGCAGTGAAAAATTCTGGTTCCAGTTGTGGCTACTTAATATTTGGGTGGAAGATTATAGGAGTATGATCTCACCTAGTCTAGGGCCGAGCCTCGCAGCCAACTTCCCTGCACGTGGAAATCTAAAATGCTAAAATGTCAAAGAGGAAACATGAAACGTACTTCTGTGAGCTACAAATTGTTGTTTTTCCTCAATCGGGAGCATTCAGACGAGGAACAATCCCAAAGATGATTTTTTTTCAGGAGGCTACTGAATTTCTTGTTTTTCCTTTGAAGACGTTTCGCTTCTGATCCCAGAAGCTTCTTCAGCTCTGACTGGATGGTGGGGAAGGGAAGGATTTACACTCCTTGCAGACAGCTGGTCATTAGTGCTCTCTTTGAGAGTCGTTGAGGCCACTTGGAGGTTTGTCTGTGTCCTCACCTAAGTCGTGCAAATGGGTGTGAAGCTCCCTTGGAACTGCGGAAAGGACGGAGATAGGTGGTGTCGTATCCTCCCCCTCTGCTGAGACAGGGCTCAACAGCCAACACAACATACGTGCACACTTCAAACCCACGAATACACCAAGGCAGAAGCTGGTCCACCCCAGGGATGAAACACCCAGACACAAACTGAGCAACGTGGCGTGTGCACTACAGTGCAGGGAGCCGTGGGCAGATCTCTGCATTGGGGAAACAAGATGACAACTTCACAAACGCTTGGCACAACAGAGGAGAACCAACCCACCAGGAGCAGAGTCAGCCATCCGTCTGCATTTGAAAGACAAAATCCACTCTTTCGAGGACAGGAAAGTCCACATTTTGGACAGAGAGGACCGCTGGCTTGCGAGAGGGGTCCAAGAGGGCATCTGGGTCCAAATTGAACAGCCCTCTCTCTCAACAAACGGAGGGGGGATACGACAATGTCTCTCTGCAGTCTACAACACAATCCTTTCGACAGTTCCAAGAAGGCTCCACACCGCTTTGCACCCCTGAGGTGACCCTGAGGACACAGAGATAAACCTCCAGGTGGCCTCAGCGACTGTCTGCAAGGAGTACAAATCCTTCCCTTCCCCACCATCCAGTCAGAGCTGAAGAAGCTTCTGGGATGAGAAGCGAAACGTCTTCCAAGGAAAAACAAGAAATTCCAGTTTTTCAGTCCTGAAAAAAAATCACTTTTGGGACCACCGTGATCTGGATGACGGAGACTCTCCAGAGACACGAAAAACAATTTTGTACGTAAGTTACAGCAAGGCTGTGCTCCTGCCTCGCAGTTGACAAAGTCAGTCGCCCGCTTAGTGACTAGATGACACTATTTATTTTTCTACGGCTATTCGTCTCAACAAAGGGACTCTTAGCATCTAACAGTAATTAACAACAACCTATCAACAGAAATATGAGTACAGAACTATCAGGTGAGATAAGAACAAACTATTCTCAAGCCAGCCATGGTTCGTACCACATCCTATGGTTGGGTTGTTTTCGATCCTGATTAGTTGTGTTTTTCCTATGGGAGGGCACCCCCTCACCCCCCAAAAGTGGGTTTTATTTCCCACAATTCCCTAGCCAGCTGGGTGTCTGATAGAGATTCTGGATATCCAAATTCACCTTCTTGGCTCTGCTTATTTTCTTGCCTGCCGGCCTGCCTCATAGCAGTTTTATAATATTGTTGTTGTTGTTAATTGCGAAGTCGTGTCTGACCCATCGCGACCCCATGGACAATGTTCCTCCAGGTCTTCCTGTCTTCTACCATCTTCTGGAGTCCATTTAAGCTCACGCCTCCTGCTTCAGTGACTCCATCCAGCCATCTCATTCTCTGTCGTCCCCTTCTTCTATTGCCCTCCATCTTTCCCAGCATTAGGCCCTTCTCCAGGGAGTCCTTCCTTCTCATGAGGTGGCCAAAGTATTTGAGTTTCAACTTCAGGATCTGGCCTTCTAAAGAGCAGTCGGGGTTGATCTCCAGGACTGACCAGTTGGATCGCCTTGCAGTCCAGGGAACTCGCAGGAGTCTTCTCCAGCACCATAGTTCAAAGGCCTCCATTCTTTGGCGCTCAGCCTTTCTTATGGTTTTATAATATTAGTGGAAGTCATTGGTTTGAGATGGATGACCATACAAACTGTTTAAATAAATATTACTAAAAACTAAGCAAAGGAGAGGAACAACAACAACAACAATAATAATATAATAATAAAGTTGGAAGGAACCTTGGAGGTCATCTAGCCCAACTCCCTGCTCAGGCAGGAAACCCTACACCATTTCGGACAAATGGCTGTCCAGTCTCTTCTTAAAAACCTCCAGTGTTGGAGCATTCACCGCTTCTGGAGGCAGGTAGTTCCACTGGTTAATTGTTCTCACTGTCAGGAAGTTTCTCCTTAGTTCCAAGTTGCTTCTCTCCTTGATGAGTTTCCACCCGTTGCTTTTTGTCCGGCCTTCCGGCGCTTTGGAGAAGAGCTTGATTCCCTCAAATATAGCCAATTACTAAACCTAAGCAGCTGTGACTATAAAAGTGGGTTACCACTCTTGGTATTCATAATAAAAAAGGTTGGTGAACTAAACCCCTTCAGTAACAATATCAGTAGTCCTTGACCTACGACCATAACTGAGCCCAGAATTTCTGTGTGAGATAGTTGTTAAGTGAGTTTCGCCCCATTTTATTGTTGCCCCATTGTTGGCAAGAAACAAGAGTTATTACGTTAATAACAGTTATTAAGTTAATAACATGGTTGCTAAGTGAATCCAGCTTCCCCATTGACTTTGCTTGCCAGCAGGTTGTAAAAGGGGATCACGGGACCGTCATAAATATGAGTCAGTTGCCAAGTGCTTGAGTGTAGATCACGTGACCACAAGGAGGCGGCAACGGTCGTAAATGTGAAAACGGCCTTAAGTCACTTCGATTTCAGTGCCGTTGCAATGTCAAACGGGCGCTAAAGACAGGTTATAGGTCAAGGGTTACCTGTAACAGAACCAGACACAAGCTGGCCAGGGAATTCTGGGAGTTGAAGTCCACGCATGCTAGACTTCTCCCGGTTGAGAAACACTCTCTTCAGGAAATGTTCAGGAGATGAATTAGCAAGTGGTCCTACTGTCTGCCCTAGGTGAGGGGTCTCCATCCTCAGCCATTTTAAGACTTGTGGACTTCAACTTCCAGAATTCTTCAGCCAGCCAGGAAATTCTGGGAGTTGAAGTCCACAATTCTTCTGGCTGGGGAATTCTGGGAGTTGAAGTTCACAATTCTGCTGGGGAATTCTAGGAGTTGAAGTCCACAATTTTTCTGGCTGGGGAATTCTGGGAGTTGAAGTCCACAATTCCAGCTAGGGAATTCTGGGAGTTGAAGAACACAATTCTTCTGGCTGGGGAATTCTGGGAGTTGAAGTCCACAATTCTGGCTGGGGAATTCTGGGAGTTGAAGTCCACAATTCTTCCGGCTGGGGAATTCTGGGAGTTGAAGTCCACAATTCTTCCGGCTAGGGAATTCTGGGAGTTGAAGTCCACAATTCTTCCGGCTGGGGAATTCTGGGAGTTGAAGTCCACAATTCCGGCTGGGGAATTCTGGGAGTTGAAGCCCACAATTCTTCTGGCTGGGGAATTCTGGGAGTTGAAGTCCACAATTCTGGCTGGGGAATTCTGGGAGTTGAAGTCCACAATTCCGGCTGGGGAATTCTGGGAGTTGAAGTCCACAATTCTTCCGGCTGGGGAATTCTGGGAGTTGGTCCACAATTCTTCTGGCTGGGGAATTCTGGGAGTTGAAGTCTACAATTCTTCCAGCTGGGGAATTCTGGGAGTAGAAGTCCACAATTCTTCCGGCTGGGGAATTCTGGGAGTTGAAGTCCACAATTCTTCCGGCTGGGGAATTCTGGGGGTAGAAGTCCACAATTCTTCTGGCTGGGGAATCCTGGGAATTGAAGTCCACAAGTCTTAAAGTAGCCAAGTGGGGAAGAGCCCTGAATATGCAAATGTCTTTTCTCATTCCTCTTGGGGGGGCACTCTTTTCACAGGTTTGGTTCCAGAATCGGCGCGCCAAATGGCGCCGTCAGGAGAAGATGGAAGCCACCGCCATGAAGCTTCATGACACCCCCGTGCTGTCCTTCAGCAGGCCCCCGATGGCAGCCAACATGGGGCCGATCGGCAACTCTCTCCCCTTAGACCCGTGGCTGACCTCGCCCATCTCCAGCGCCACCCCCGTGCACAGTCTGACGGGGCTGATGGGGCCCAGCCAGGCCCTCCAGCCCACCTACCCAGCCCACGCCTTCCTCAATAACCCCCCCACCCTGCCGCAGAGCATGCAACCCATGGCGCCTATGGCCTACCAGTGCGCCACGACTTTTGTGGACAAATATCCCTTGGAGGACCTGGAGCAGCGGAACTCCAGCATCGCTTCGCTGCGCATGAAAGCGAAGGAGCACATCCAGACCATAGACAAAACCTGGCAGCCCATTTGATGGCGGGTCAGGCCGCCTTGCCGTAGCAAAACACCGACCAGGCTGAGCGGGACCCTAGGAGACTCTCTTACGATCCCCCCCTCCTCGGTCAAGATGTCGCTTAGTTTCTCGTGCGATCGGGGGGGGGGCGGTGAGCAACCACGCGGAAAGAGAGCGACTCTCCAATTCCATTTCACAGACCTCAGCTATAAAGTGGATTGACACTTTATAGGGAACACGCTAGAGCAGTGGTTCTCAACCTTTTTAACGCCGTGACCCCCAACCGGTCATAAGTCGAGGACTACTCAACCGGTCGTAAGTCGAGGACTACTCAACTGGTGCAGCCCCGTTTGCAGACTGGGACTTTTGGCGGGCTCAGCAGGACAGAGACAGCCTGGACAATTCCTATTGGCTTTTGAAAGCCAATAGAATTAGACTCTATTCAAGAGAGTCTCTTCTATGGGCTTTCAAAAGCCAATCGAATAAAAGGGAGTAGCACAGCCAAAGAAAAGGGGGAAAAAAATGGCGGACTGCGTTGTTTGGCGACTCCCGGGAAATGGTCATTCGACCCCAAATGGGGTCCCAACCCACAGGTTGAGGACCACTGCGCTAGACACAGCATTCGCAAGGGAAGATGCTTTCGTTCACACCAGATTGGTGGCAGAAGTGGGATCCGCCGGCAAGAATTCTGCGCGGCACGTTTGTCCTTGCGGGACTGCTGAAGTTGTTGTTACAGGCAGGTGTAGAATTTGGCAAGGACTCTCTGCAGGCCTCGAAAATCTCCTTCCAAACCAAAGGCAAATTCCAAAGGAACCTCAAGGGTTTTTGTTTTGTTTTCGTTTGCTTTTCGTTCTTTGTCTACCGAATGCCGGCTGGGAGGGTGGAATGGAAGTGAAACTGCACCCTTTCAGAATGGGCGTGCAAGGCTGTTTTTAGGGAGAGAGCAGCTTTCTGCTCCATCCACTGTTATACTTTGCTTGTTTTGGTTTTGTCTCTTGCAATTTTGTTCCACCTGAATTTAGCATCTACTACAAATGCTCCTTGAGTTACAATCATTCTCTTAGTGCAGTGGTTCTCAACCTTTCTAATGCCGCGACCCCATAATACAGTTCCCCATGTTGTGGTGACCCCCAACCACTTATACATCACCGGGTGCCAGGGGCGTGGCCAAAGAAAAGGGGGGAAAAATGGCAGACAGCCTTGTTTAGTGACCCCCGTGAAATGGTCGTTGGACCCCAAATGGGGTCCCGACCCAGTTGAGAACCACTGTCTTAGTGGACGTTGGAAGCTATCACGGTGCTGAAAAAAAAAATTAATTTACAACCGTTTTTCACACTTAGCAACCGCTGCAGCACCAAAATTCATGGATAGGGGATCAAAATTCCGACGTTTGGCAACTGACTCATATTTACGTCAGTTGCAGAATCACCCGATTCCCTCTTTTGGGATCTTCTAATATGCCGAGTCCATGGGAGAAGGCATGCTCATTTAGCAGCCGTGCAGTGATTCACTTAGTAACTGTAGCAAGAAAGATCGTGAAAGGGAGTAAAACTCACTTAACAATTCGCCCGCTTAGCAACAGGAATTTTGGGCTCCGTTGTGGTCGTAAGCCGAGGACTGCCAGCGTAGGATGGGATTTCCAGGCTGGCCGGATTAAAAACCAGCAAGATGAAAAACCAGAAAAAAAACTGGTGCTTCTCAGTCGTCCACAGTTGTCCCAAAGATGGAATTGGACTTCCTTGTTTTTCTTTGGGAAAAAAACCAAAAATAAGCCAAACCAGAAAGTCCAGTTGCCTTGTGAAAAAGCACCTTTGGGACAAATAAAAAAAAACCACCTAGACTCTTCTCAGGGTTATTGTCACCGTCGTTGTCGTTATGAGGAAACACCCCTGGTCAGAACAGCAAAAACCAAAGTTGACATAAAAAAGACGCACATCTTAAACCCGCCACCAAATTCAGAAAGAAGGACGATCTATGCCGGCGTCGTTCAAAAAAGACAGAGCGGGTATCTTTTTGTCTTGTCTGCCCCTCCCTGCGGGATCCCTGTGGGAAAAGGACCAGTGGGATCGGCCAAAGGGATCCCTGGCTCAAAAGATCTGCCAGGATCCATGTAAGGCTGGGGAGTCAGAAAGGAAAGCAGCGGGAGAAGGACGTTCGCCCCGTGGGAGACACGGACGCGGATCGTGGGAGGAGGGCTTGGGGGCCACAGGCAGGCTTCCTTCCCAGTGGAGGGCTCAGCCAGAGGACCTTTGGGGGTCCCAAAGCTATTCCCCAAATTATGTGATATCTGAGCAGGGCTGGGTCCACCAAGAATAAAGCGAGGTAGAGCATTGGTTTTCCGAACAGGTGTGCTTGGTGATGTTTGCACTGGGGTATCCAGAGGGGGGTGCCCAGATCTGCAAAGCCCCACCCTTTTTTGTGCACCTGGGTACATCCTCTGGGACCCCCCCCCCCAAAGGCCCAGGCTGGAATAGAGTAGAGTAGAGTAGAGTAGAGTAGAGTAGAGTAGAGTAGAGTAGAGTAGACTAGAGTAGAGTAGAATAGAATAGAATAGAATAGAATAGAATAGAATAGAATAGAATAGAATAGAATAGAATAGAATAGAATAGAATAGAATAGAATAGAATGCAGAACGGAACAGAATGCAGAATAGAATAGAACAGAACAGAATAGAATAGAATGCAGAACAGAACAGAATGCAGAATAGAATAGAATAGAATAGAATAGAATAGAATAGAACAGAATACAATGCAGAACAGAGCAGAATGCAGAATAGAATAGAATAGAATGCAGAACAGAACAGAATAGAATGCAGAACAGAACAGAATGCAGAATAGAATAGAATAGAATGCAGAATAGAATAGAATGTAGAATGGAATGGAATGCAGACTAGAATAGAATGCAGAACGGAACAGAATAGAATGCAGAATAGAACAAAATGCAGAACAGAACAGAATAGAAGAGAGCTGGAAGGGACCTTGGAGGTCTTCTAGTCTATGCAATGATTGTCTTGGTGGTCCTGGCTGGACTATGCAACCAAAACTGGCTGCTGCATAAACCTCTGGGTCGAGGGGCATCTAGAAACCTGATAGATCTCAGACTGGATCCATTTGGCTGCTATACAGGCAGTCCTCCAGTTATGACAGTTTGTTTAGTGACCATTCAAAGTTTCAGCAGACCACCCCCGAGCTGTGGATGACACAGTTCCAGAGCCCCAATGGCCCCCCCTCCTTTTCCCTTTGCAGTCACGTGACCTTGAGGACCATTTGCAGCATCCCGCAGCCAGGTGACCGCAATTGTCAGTGCATTTGCCAAGAAAAAAAACAACAATGGCATTGTCAGAGTATGCACAGTTTTATTGCGCTGAGATCACCCCAGGAGTAAACACAGTAAACATTGGTTTGTATTAAATGGTGGTTTATCTTACACTATTTACAATCAGACACCAGGAACAATATACATGCACGTGCCAATACAGCAGGATCCAAACAACCACAATTACAGCAGGAAACAGAAGAGAAAAAAGCATAGCAGCGGAGTCTTTCCTTTTATACAGAGGCTCTTAAAGGGACACAGACCCTGCTGAGTCATTCCCATCATTACATCATACATCTCACATTATACAAGCTGGTTAGCTGTTCAATTATTACCTTGACAGGCATTTACGTTCCGGTTTCTCGGGGGGGGGGGAACCAACACCCCAAAGCAAACAATGGATTCACTTTAGGACTTATGTATATATAACCTCAGCCCTCGCTCGTCCAACCCTCTGGGCATGTAATTGCTATCCCAGGCCTCTCCGTGCAACTAGAATAGAATAACAAGAGTTGAAAGGGACCTTGGAGGTCCTCTAGTCCAACCCCCTGCTCAAGGCAGGAGACCCTATACCATTTCAAACAGGTGGCTGTCCAGTCTCTTCTTAAAAACTTCCAGTGTTGGAGAACCCACAAACATAGAACATACAATAACAGATTTGGAAGGGACCTTGGAGGTCATCTAGTCCAACCCCCTGCTCAGGCAGGAAACCCTGTACCATTTCAGACAAGTGGCTGTCCAGTCTCTTCTTCAAAACCTCCAGTGATGGAACATTCAGCTTCTGGAGGCAAGGAATCCCACTGATTAACAGAATTGGAAGGGAATTTGGGAGGTCATCTAGTCCACCCCCCCCCCTGCTCGGGCAGCAGACCCTGCGCCATTTCAGACAAATGATTGTCCAATCTCTTCTTAAAAAGGAGGAGGAGGAGGAGGAGGAGAATAACAGATCTGAAAGAGACCTTAGAGGTCATCTAGTCCAACCCCCTGCTCAGGCAGGAGACCCTATCCCATTTCAGTCTCTTCTTAAAAACCTCCAGTGATGGAGCGCCCACAACTTCATGTCATTCCTCTGATTAATTACCAGAACGAGAGAGATGGAAGGGACCTCAGAGGTCATCTAGTCTGACCCCCTTCTGGAGGCAGGATGTTCCACAATTCACAGAGACTTCTCTCTTATTTTGGGGACAACCAGCCCACAGGCGGGTTGAAGGCTTCCACTGCTCCCCAGTTTTCCTTCATTACTGAAACCACATACAGGTAAGTCCTCGACTTAAAACCGTTCGTTTAGTGACCGTTCCAAGGTGAAAACGGCACCGAGAAATAAGGATTACGACCGTTTTTTCACAGTCGCCACCTTTGCAGCAGGTGATCAAAATTCAGATGCTTGCCAACTGGTCCCTGTTTATGACCGTCGCCGTGTCCAAAGGTCACGCGATCCCCTTTTGCGACCTGAACAAGCAAAGTCAATGGGGGAACGGCAGATTTGTTTAACGACCACGTCGCTAACTTAACTGCAGGCGATTCAGGCCGGTAGCAGAGGTGACAGATTCCCTTAACAACGGTGGCAAGGCCGAAAAATGGGGCCGCTTAACGAATGTTTCGCTTAGCGACAGAAATGCCGGGCTCAGCTAGAGTCGTTAAGTCAAGGACTGCCTGTACCTGAAAATCTTTTGGAGCTTTGAAGATTGGTCGCAAGTCCCTCTTTTTTTTTCAGCGCCCTTGTGTCATTTTGGTCGCTGACCGGCCATAACTCAAGTCCTCGACTTACGAGCAGAACTGAGCTCAACATTTCTGTCGCTAAGCAAGACAGCTGTGAAGTGAGTTTGGCCCCACGTTATGACATTTCTGGCCACCGTCATTCAGTAAATCCCTGCAGTCGTTAAGTGAGCAACACGGTTGTTAAGCAAATTAGGCTTCCCTCATTTCAGAGGGTCACAAAAGGGGGAGGGTCGCGTGACGCCAGGATACTGCGACCGTCACAAATGTGGGACAGTTGCCAAGCATCTGAAGTTTGATGGTGTGACCCGGGGG